TAACGCGGGCCCCTCAGTAGGGTCTTCTGTTTAAATTGATGGGGGCTTTGGGCCGGCCCCGACTTAGTGTAGTGCCCGAGACGCCGGATCTCGCTGTAAAGAGGGAGCGCGATCTACCCCCATCCGTCCCCTCCAGAGCCTCTTGTGCTCTCCTTCTCCCCCGCCTTTGCCTTCTCTGCCCTCCCCCCCCCCGCAGCCGTGGGATGAGGAGGGGCGCTCCGTAGGGCTGGGGTTTGTTTTGGAGCTGGCCGGAGGGGAGGAGCAATGCCAGCAGGAGCCAGATGTCGAGCTCTTTTGTTTTCAGAAACTGCCTAATAAGCCCTCTGGCTTCCCTCCCTCCCTAGGTAGAAAGATGCCTTTGTGTATGCTGGAGACTGGCTGTAAAAGCCAAAGAAGGGAAGGTTTTGGAGGAGTCAGACGTATGGGACAGCGAGGGCCCTCGGTCCTGGTCGGGAGCTGGGGTGGGCAGGCACTACACACAAGGCCTTCTTTCTGTCAGACATGGAAAATGAGACTGGTGGTTGTAGCCTTCGTCAGTGTAAATACAACATCTTCCAGCTTCCAAATTTCCTATTAAGTTGTTTACTCTGCTTCAAACAGAGAAGCCATCTCTCTGGTATGCTTTAAGCATAGAACCTTTCAACTGTGAGAGTTTTAAAGGCTTTTTATGGTTAGTTGCGATTATAATGTTGGGAGTTACAAGTACTGTCTGAGAAGTCTTATCATTAATGAGTGTTACACTGTGGAATGCTTTCACATATTTTTGCTCTCATTTTTTTTGGTGTGGATTTGGGTTTCTTTTGGGATTATGTTACACACTGTGAGTTACGATGTCACAACCCCTAACAAAAAGGCATACCTGTTACAGAGTTTCATATAGGTCTACCTGATCAAATTTCATTAAATTTCATATAGGAGTACCTGCCAATGTGTTCTTTTTTTTTTTAAGCTAATCTTAAAAAATTGTTAAATTCCTTTCTGCTGTAAGGAGACCTGTAGGGTAGGCTATGTGCTGAACTAGTCGTCTAGTTAATAGGGGTGTGTGAGAAAAGTTCTGTACTTACTTAATTTTCACTCTATGATATCATGTAGTCCAGAAACCCGAGTTTCCTAAATAAATTTCCCTGCAGTGCTGATTTGGAGTAATGTTTGCTTGAAACTTTGGACTCTTTGGGAGAAGCCTATAAGCTGGGGGAGCTCGGCAGCTTTTGTAGGTTTCTTTTGTACTTCCACTCAGTCCTGCTGTGTTCTTTGAACATATATTCTTGATTGAGGAAGTTGTTGGCTATTTAGATTCCTCATTATTTTGGCATTGCAATACATTAAAAAGTTGGTTTTATGAGGATAAATTGGTTGACTTGTGTTCTTTTTTTCTTTTTTTTACAGCATTGTCACTGATGTTGCAGTTGGTGTGAAGGTAGGATGTACACTTAGCAAATAAGGGGGCAAATCGTTGATACAAAATGAACTACTTTGAGCAGCAGTAACTGCAAGTTGTAAGATTTTTAACTAGTCATTGTCAGCTGATATAATAGTCAGCAGCATATGCTTTATTAACCAAAAATCCTAGAGGTAAATTGGAGGATCTACACAAAAGACTTTTCTAGGCGCTGAACTGTAAACTGGTTCTAGATTGATGTAGTGGTGTCAACTTCTTATTTTAAAGCTTAAATTTGCAGATTTTTTTCAAAACAACACTTTCTCATTATTTCATGGTGACTGTAAAAGACATATTTCTTCTCCCCCCCATCCTTTTTTCAAAACAGTTACCATTGAAGTTAAAAGAGAAGTTACTGCCTGTAATAGGACACAAAAATATGGGAGGTAGAGTTTGTTATGTAGACAAAGAAGTGGGCATTTGCTTTGCTTTACTTCTTATTTCTCCAGTTCAGTTATGCATTTATCCTATTTGTTACAACAAGAAAAGAGCTTCCAAATGCTTGTTAATTTACTATTTATTTTACTTTTGCATTCAGATCTGTTGCAGGAATTAGATCAGTACTTTGTAGAAGCAGACTGAGAAGTAATGAGAATGCAAAGATACATGGGACAAGGGAACTTTAGCTATATTAATGAATGCACGCAAACAATTCTATTTCACTAGTAGACACGTAGAAGTTTTCTAGGGCATACAGTTAAGTCTCCACGTTTGTCCAGGGACTCTGTATCTATACTGTGTAGCTGCCTTTTCGCCTGAAGCTGATCTGTTGTGTTAACTGCTTGGTAAACCAGGTTTTGTCTAGTAAAGCTCTTTGGCTTAGATGCAGTATTGGTCCTGCTGGATTTGAATTAGTTCTTACATAATATGGCTAGCCTGTAGATAAAACAGCTATTCTGTCATATGTACCTGTAGTATGTTTCTGAGAAAGCTTGCTTTTAGGAGGAGCTGTAAGAAGCCAGTTATATAGATTCTGGACCCATCTGACTCCACATGTTCATGCAGTATTGGAGAGAAGCTTAAAATCACTCTCTGAATCAAGAGGAAAGTGTATTTATTAAAGTACTTCCATGGGAGCTAAACCCAATCAGAAGTATGAACTGGCATTATTGTTTCTCTTTTGCCTGGGAGGATAAAGTGTTAACTGATTAAAACTTTAGAAATGTATTTAATAGTTTGGAGGAGTACCTAAGGAAGTTCAAGTCTTTCAGAAGTAAACTGCCTCATATGAATAGCTTTGGGGCAAAATGATTTATAAATTGCCTTCAATCATGTCTAATGAAGGAGCAATTTCGGGTAGACCCTGTATTGCTTGAACTCTAAATTCTGACATTCTAACTTCAGGAGAAGTAAATGGATTCAGTATCTCTTTTATTCTTAACTATGAGTGACTTAGAACCCTATGAAAATTTGAGCATTCATGAAATACACTGTAAGAGTGTAGTGCAATTTTGGAACAATATTTTCGGATACTAGCCAGACAATGAAATAAAGACACTTTAGATGACATCACTGCTTCTTTCTGTTGAGTGTAGAAGTTATATTATGAATATGTCATAAGAAAGAAGGTAAGACAGGTGTATCAGAGGTAGTGATTAAAATAAATACAAGGAAAGGCACAGAAATGTAAAAAAGTTGTGCTTTTTGCCTTGTAAAAATGGACTTATTCTCTGGATTTTAAAAGGAAACAATTTGTGCACAGAAGTAGTAATAAATAAAAAGGATGATGGTTTTCTGAAGAAAGCTGTTTAATATGGAAGGAGTAAACTGGATTGTATTCTGGAGCTTCTGTAATTATCTCAAGATGCTAATAAGAATGGAAAATGGAATCTCTCTCTAATTGATATATGCAGTTTGGGTAGCAGTCTAATGCTGGCTTCAGTCATGTTTTGTGGAAGGCCACATGAAACATTTGTCCTTTATGTTCTCTGGTGACTGTTCATTGCTCTTGATGAACTGAGTTTTTAAAGTTGAGGAATGCTTTACCTGTAAGTGGTATGTAAACAACTGGGAACATTCATCCTGCCTTTCCTTGGCTGTTGTCTTTTCTTTGGGAATGTGTAGGGAGCAAGTTTTGAGTGCAGGGAGTTGCATCAGCAGTTGTAATGCTCTTTTGATACTGCTTTTATTGTGACTGGATAGCCGTTGGGAGTGAGCAGGGATTTACTTGTGTGAAATCAACTTACCCAGGATGTTTGACCTGATGCTTTCTTGAGATTTTGCACGTACTGTATATATATAGGCTGATCAGTTATACAGCATGTTTGTGATACATTCAATTATACTTGGAGAAAGGGATTGTGACATATGACCCTTCTGTTTGGACAGTTTGCTTTATTTTATCATCATCAATCATGTCAATACAAATTTGAAAATTATATTAACTCTTGCCTTGCTGGTTTCTCTCTTAAACAGAAAAGTGAACATGTTAGTTATATTTTCAAACCCATTTGTGAAAGAGTAATAGCAGAAGTTAACTTCCGTAGTCTGGGAATTGTCTTTGAATCAAAAAGGACTTTTGAGCCTTGGGGACTGCAAGTGGGCAAGGCAAGTATAAAGTAAAAGGAATACTTGCTTATGGTGTTTCATTAGCAGGTAGCTGTGAAACTGTAAAACTGTTAATGAGGCTGCTAACTTTGAAGCTACTAACATTTATTTTTGTGGTACGTTTTGATTTAAAACATTTCTGTTCATCAAACCGTTGAATGTTCAATCTTGATTTTATTTATGTGTTGAGTCACCAGAAATTAACACCAAAAGACGAGGAAAAACTAAAACTCAAAATGGGGGTGGAAAAAATTACAAATACTGTTTGAAAACTTGGTTTACATAGAGTAAATGCCAAGATTTGCACAATTCAAGAAATGTAGTGGGAACATGCTTCCCAGCTAAAATGTCAGAGGAGCAGTGTGCTTTAATTTCTGAAAGCTGTAGAACGTGTCAAAACCTAGTCATCTTCTAAATACGTATGAAATAATTCATATTTAATTTGGTCTGTAATGTTTTGTTTTGCTTTCCTAGAATTGATGGAGGAAAGGAAATGTCACTCTGCACACAGTTTACCCCTTACCTTGCAATTTACAAAATAATACAAAAAGAATGAGCTTTAGCTCTGTCTGATGTTACTTTGTGAACTCCTGTTGTATATAAGCATTTTGTGTAAGTGTTTTTGAGTAGAACAGAGCTAAGGATTCCGGTAATGATAGTATATTATGTAGTTCATTGATTTTTTTTTTTTTTTTTTAATTTTCAGTTTCTTGAAATTCTGTACACTTTAAATTTATATATTTCTTAATGCATAGTTTTAAAAAATGCCATATTATATAAAATGCTTGCTTTTTCGTTTTAAAATGGTGCATCTCAGTTGCTCTGTTTTTATTACATGAGGTCCTTAGTCACGAAAAATGAAAAGGCCTGCTAGCTAGCTTCTATTCTCAAACTTGTTGCTCACTGACTATATAGGTTTGAGTATCAGAATCTAGTAACTGTAGTTCAAATTGCTGTCTTACGTTCTCTTTACAGTTATGATCATTTAATCTGGGTAAGTAAACTGATTTGGCACTTGGAGTGCTAGAGCTTTTTTCAACTATTGAAGTGAATGTATGAAGTGTATAATGTATCTTTTAATTACTCCAGAGAAAAGAATCTTCAAGGGGTATAAAATTTGATCTAAAGAATATACATCACACAGATGCAGGGAACAATTTAGGTGAACTTTTGACGCATATTGAAGACGATAGTTCTCTTATTGTATTCCAGTGTGTGCCACTTCAGCCTAATGTACCATCGTTTCCTGGATGGTATGTGTAGCTGTGCAGTAAATGGGGCCTGAAAAATTGAGTGTTCAGAATGGCTGAGGTGTACTTCTACCTGATGGGAGAAAAAAGCAGGCATTCCTTTATGGATGCATTATTTGATACACGGCGTTTGGGAATTTGTGACATTGTTGACACTGCTTTGAGCTACACTGGCCAAAACCTGAGCTTCAGTTGCCATGTGTGGACAGCCCCAGTCCACAGGAGCGAAAACTCATATATCCCTGTAAACATAGTTTTGTAAGTTTAAAAGATGTGGGAATGCCCTTTTCCCGGAAAGTCAGGGCATCAGCCTTTGCAGTATGCTTAATAAAAGAGGGAATTCTTGGTGTGTATTTAGTCGGTTGTCTTAGGGTTAGGTAGCAGATGCTAAGAAGCACTGTCCTCATACTTTCTCACAGTTTTCCAAACAATATTGTGTCACAAAGTGCCCCTTTTTCCTGGTGGCTGAAATTTAACATTGGGGAGTATAATAGTATGAGGGACGGGCAGTAGCTAAAACCAGAGGAGATATGAGCTGATGGAGAAAAGACTGCCACTACAGTGGCAGTGTCTGTAAGTACTCTTGAAACATTGTCCACTTTTTTTAACTCAAGTTCTGAGGGGTGAACTTTTATCTTAGAAAATTACTAGAACATTGTCCCTTTTTTGCTACTAATAGCTGAGAGTTTCCTTGTGGTAGAAACGAATATTGTGGATATATTGTGACTTTTTATTTGAACTGTATACTGTATAATGAAAAAATGTGTAGAAAAAAGTTGGTTAGAAATTCTAGCAAGTTGTGAGAAGATAAGTTTATTCTAAACTTAAGGAATGAGAAAGTATTTAGATAGCTTTTTCCTTTCAGTTTCTTCTTTTTCTGAAATCTATTTTGCCTTCACTGTTGTACCTATTGTTGTACTATTCTAGGTACTTAAATAAAAGGGAGTGGTAGGATAAAAAACTGACTCATTCATAGACAAATGCCATGTGGTGGTCTGTTTTATTGTATTTAAAATATTAGAACGATAGTTTTGAGCTATCTTTTCATGTGTAATTACTAGTAGATTGCTTGTAGATCAGACAGAGGCTGCTAAGGGCAGTGATGTGAGAAAAATGGGTTCTTTGTGAACTGGAGGAACTGTTTTAATTTTGTGTTATCTAGGTTGATGTTTCTAAATCAAC